CTGGTGGGCTGAGCTGGCCACACACACACACACACACACACACACACACACACAATAAATAAATAAATAAATGTTAAAATAATAAACTTTAAAAAAAAAATTATAAGCAAAGAAAGTAAGAGAAGGAGCGAGCAAGCAAGTAGGTAAGAGAAACCCAGACAACAAACAGACTGTTGATATCAAATACTGTATAAAACAAATCCTACTGACACTAATTTGTGGCTATAAGACTGATAATTTTTCCTTTGGGTAGAATCCCAACCCTCTGTGAGGCTGAGGCAGGAGGATCACAAATTCAAGCCCCACCTGTGCAAATTAGTGAGACTCTATCTACAAAAAAAAGAGTAAAAAGGGACTGGGAATATAGCTGAGTGTAAAGGCCCTGCGTTCAAACTCCAGTACTTTAAAAATAAAGTCTGTGTTATCAAATCTCAGCTCCACTTGAATCTCGATAGTTTGAACACCAGAGGCAGAGAGAAGCCTTCCCAGCTTCTAAAGCTCTGCTTCCACATACCAGACTCCAGGAGCATCACAAGGCTATCGCTGCCATCGCTGTCCACTGAAATCCGGTCATCAGGGCCACTGTTATCCAACAAGACACCATCGAATGACTGCTGAGACACTGTCCTCTTCATGGAGAAAAATCGGAGTCGGCCAGCTCCTCCACTCATTGGGGTTGCCACGCCCTCATCTGTCCTGGCCATGGGCTCCCTGTTTTTAAGAATAACAAAAACCACAAATATGGCTGGAAAGTCATGTTTGTTCCCACCCCAGGCCATATGCTTCCCCTCGGAGAGGTAATGTGAACACTAACCTGGTATCACCAATTGCCTGCTATCAAAGATAAAGTTATTTTTTAACCACTGGCCTTTCTGAATTCTTATTCCAGCACTGTTAGCTGTGTGCTGTGTAAATAACTAATGCACACCAAACGGCAAGGTTACATGGGTCAAGTGAGACATAAACAGCGTGCACTCCCCGCACCTTGGTGCAGGGATGACCCAGCCCACCTGAAACCCTTACACAAGTTCCAACTGCAGGCGCCCGTATGCAGGCATTGTATAGGGCACAAGGCAGACTGAAGGGAGGACAATCTGAGCCCCTGTCCTCAAAGAATTTGTCATCTATTAGAAGACAGGAAATTGAGTCCATAAAACTACATGGGAGTTAAGTCACACATGCCTGCCAAGTGGGACATTGGCACAAGGCAAACGCTAGGCAATATGAGAGAGGAGGACGGATGAGGTGAGTAAGAATACCCTCGGGGCTGCAGACACACACCTGCAGCCCCAAATACTCAGGAGGCTTGGTAGGAGGATCACAAGCTCAAGTCAGCCTGGGCTAAATAGTGAGACTCTGTCTCAAAGCAAAATAAAAGGGGCTGTGATATAGTTCACTACTCTTTGGGTTTGATTCCCAGTACTAAAAAAAAAAAAAAAAGAAAGAAAGAAAAAAAAAAGGAATGGTTTGTGGAAGGAGATGGTATTTGAGTTCTTGAAAGAGTATGAAAGAAAAACAAGGACCAGGGATATAGCTCAGCAGTCTACGTGTCTGCCTGGCAAGCTCCAAGACCCAGGCTCTATGCCTAGTACCACATGCTGTTCTCACCCTGCCCTGGGCACACCCAGCTAGCCACTGAGACTGTAATCCCATTGCTGGGGAGGCTAAAAACAGGAGGGTCACTACAAGTCTAGCTGCATAGTGAGATCCTATACCAAATAGATTAAAAAGAGAGAGAAAGAGGGAGGGGGGAGGGGGAAGAGGAAGAGGAGGAAGA